AACACCAGAAAAATGTATTTCTCACAATAGAATCAGCTTTGACTAAAGAATTGGGACATGCATCAATGGGCAGGGAGGGCAAAGGAGAATTTGAGTCCTGTGTAATGAAGAAACGGTCAGGGAAAGAAGTAGGTGCTATGTAGATTCTCCTATGCTGTTTAAAAATAATTATGTAATAATTGCTCTATTATCCACATAACTTTTGGCAAAGATCATCGTCATGACGGGTTGTTTGTTTTGTCGTGCTTAGTTTTCATTTACTCTCATTTGTAATATTTCCAGTGAAGGGCAATGTGCCTTCGTGTTCTTTCTTTGTTTTGGGAATTGCTCTTGTAAGTATTTCATTTCATGAGATCAGTGGTTTGACTTTCACAAGCTCTTCCCAGCTCTGCTGGACACTGGTAGCTCAGGGCCATTTTCCGGTGCTGATATTCTGCATTTTGAGGACGGTCACGAGCTCAGTGGGGCCCAAAGTTCTCACCCATGTTACTTCTACACCACTTTCCCATCTCTCAGGGACTCAGTGCTGTCTCTGTCCTAAGGTGTTCACCTGGTGTTCTTCAACACTGTCCTTCACACATTGCCTTCTCCCCATTCAGGCTGCAGAAAGTCCAGGTGGGTCTGTGGGTCTCCCTCTGTCCTAGACCTTGTTGTGAAGACAGAAGCTGGCTCTAATCTAAAAACTTGAGCATACATCAAGTTGGTCTTTGGTGTCACCTCTAGTTCTTGAATAATATTTTTAATGAATTCTTTTTAAGTTTATGTATTTATTTCTTCCATGAGTGAGCAAGACAGAGAGAGAGAAAATGGCAGTCCTAACAGGGTCTGGACACTGTGACTCATCCACACCCTTAAGCCTTAAGCCAGCTCCAGATCATGGGCAAGTACATGCCTGGTGTAAGCAGGGAGGTCTCTGTCCCAGAACCTTCCATGGAGTTTGCCTTGTAGAGTGTTGTATTTTACTTCTGGGTTTCTGTCTGGCCTCAAGTTTTTTTAAAAAATTTTTTTGAGAGTTTTTTTTTTTTTTCTTCTACAGGGTGCGTACACTTGCCAGAAAGAGACAGAGAGACAGAAAGCGAGAAATCACCCTCCAGGGGGATGGCCACGCAGAATCCCTTCTTCCCCATTATCCTCCTGGGATCTTGGGCATGCATGTACATGCTCACAGTGTGAGTTTAAGCCACCAGGTCTGGGACTTGAACCTCAGTCTACTACATGGGAGTCCAGTGACACAGTCATTATGCTATCAGCTGGTCTCCCCCAAATGTTTTTAATAGGGCTAGTTTTAATTCAAATTTTTCAAAATATGATTTTCAAGTATTAGTCACATACCTCTACCCCCATTTCTCTGTACCTTATGACTTAAGTTACCTAGTTTCAAGTTACGTGATGCTTTGCAAAAAATTTTCTCTGTGTAGGTGGAATTCCACTATACTTTGCTTAACAATTTTTTTTTCTCTTGAACATTCTTGAACATTTTATCTTAAAGATAATCATTGTTGCTTTTGGAGCAACAGCGATCTCCAAAAGCTCAAATAAGAAGAACAAAAGCCATTATAGAGTGGGTTTAACAAAATCCTACTCGCTGACATTGCCATACGTGAAAGAAGCAGCCATAGTCACACCTCTTCATTTGCTCTTATGAAAACCATGCTCCCAGGAGGAACACCGCTGATGTTCATACCTGTTTTCCCCTCCAGAAGGAATAGCTGAATTACCAATAAAATCTAAACATTTTTACTCCCTTTTAATGGTCTCAGAGATCTCTGTCTTCCCATGGCTTTCTCTTTTCTGTTGCCTTTCATTCCTTCCTTTTTTCCTTCCTTCATTTCTTTCTTCCTTCCATCCATTTAATGCTGAACTCATGAATGTGTTACACACATCATGACCCTTCAACCCTCCCTAAATATGTCAACATACATCTCGTAAGAGAATTGTGTATTCTTTTTGATGCTCGAATTCATTCATATTTGGCCAGTGATAGTCCTTTCAAGATGGCGCTTATGTCTTTTAGATGTTTCCTTCAGTCTTTAACCAGAAGAAAGTCTGAGTAACTTCCCACTGTCTAACAATAACATGTTCCAGGATTATCTTACATCTTGCCTACTCCAAACCAGGGGTTAGCCATTTCTCCAAGGATCTCCAGTGTTTAGAAACCAAGATCTGAAGCTAGATATGCTTTAGTAGACAGTACTTGCATTAGGAAATACAAGTACTTTTTTTTTTACATTATGATTTCGTGGTAATGCCTCCCATTACAACATAACACCACAAAATTTGTTGTCTTTGGACCAGTAGTTAGCATAATGGCTATGTCGCTGGACTCCCACGTAGGCGGCTGTGGTTCGAGTTCTGGACCTGGTGGCTTAAACTCACATCAGGTGCGTGTGCATGTGTGTCTAAGATCCCAAGAGAAGAATGGAGGAGAAGGGATTG